ATAGGTGTTTTTGGATCTGCAACAGGGATGTGGAACTATGGACAGATATCAGGAAAGTGCTCAGGTTAATAAACAATAAACATGAAAAAAAGAGGAATTATTGAATAGTTTACCAGCAATGTATAGATCATGGGAACATAGGAGACGAGTCATTTCTAACACAGAGAATACCCAGTCTACAACAACTGACTCAAAAATAAGCAGATACCCACTGGAAAAAACGCAGGGAAAGGGGAAAGCTAGCTCAGTCCCCAGCCCTAGGGCTGACCCAGACTCAGCCCCCTGCCATTGTGAAAATCCGGATTCGGTTAAAGACTCCTCCACAACCACCAAAGCCATAGCCCTCCAGTATAAATGTAGTAGAGGAGTTCTCTTTTGGGATAGACTCAGCTGCAGCCATCAGTCATAGCCTCTAGTACAGATGTAGTAGAGGATTCCTCTTCCAGGAAAAAAAGTTGGTATCATGACAACAGATGGTGGTGTCTCTGGTTTGGCTATGGAGGACAGTAGTGCAGTTCTAGGGTTTGCACAAATTAGGAACACATCCAACACGAATTGTACCCAGTCAAAAACAAAATGGTCCAAATTCTATGTTTGGGGCATCTGTAAACATGGAATATCAGGGAAAGCGAATGGGGCATGCAACTTTGAGCATCCCAAAAAATGCCGCGGTCTCCTCTCTAAAGGAGTGTGCCGTTCTACTTTTTGCAAATTCTTCCACCCTGAGATGTGTCATTCTTCAGTCCTCGAAAAATAATGTTACATTACCAATTGTACCGCATACCATTTAAAAGGGACAGGGAGGCACACACCTCGTACAACACATCATAGTAGCTATGGTAGCTATGACAACACCCCCAAGTGATTTTTAGTGGTAGGAAACGAAGAAAGTGGAAAGAGATACTCAAAATAGTCCACCACCTTGGAGCCTTGTTAGACTGGAGGAACAACCAGTGGTCCCTCCGGACTCACAACTACTTATGCCAACAAAATCCCCCCAACAATCATGCAACACAACCTCATTTGTATTTACTTATAGCCTTAAGCCATCCACCAACAACAAAATACCTTTCATTAGTGGACTTCTAGGAGAGTCAAATGCACTGTTTGCAGCCTTCACAGAGATCCATGCAAAAGATTACTTTGACAGTGAAATCTGGATACCTGGATACAACCTTTTCAGATGTGACAGAAAGAACAGGCAACAAGGGAAAGTTGGCCTGTATATCAAAGAGTCGCTCATTTGTACAGAAATACTGAACACCAAAATACAGATGTAGTATACACAGACATTGCAAAATCTTTCGACAAGTGTGACCATTGTGTAATAGCACCACGGGAAAAGTTGGTAGATGGATCTACAACTTCCTGAAAATAGAACACAAAGAGTAATAGTAAACAGCGTAAAGTTCCAGGCAGCCACGGTAAAAAGCTCTCTTCCACAAGGCACAGTACTCGATCCCATTCTATTCCTCATCCTCATTTCTGACATAGACAGAGATGTAAACCATAGCTTCATGTCTTCCTTTGTGGATGACACCTTGATTACAATGACAGTGACCTCCATCGAAGACACCGCGAGACTCCAAGAGGACATCAACCAAATCTTCGAATGGGCCACTCAAAACAATATGAAGTTCAATGAAGAAAAATTTAAACTACTCAGATATGGAAAACTTGAAGAAATTAAAAATGTGTCAGGGTATACCACAAATTCTAAACATACAATAGAGCAGAAAAGTAATGTGAAGGACCTGGGAGTGATAATGTCAGAGAATCTCACCTTCAAAGCCCACAACAATGTATCTACCTCATCCCCTAGGAAAATGAAAGGATGGATAATGAGAACCTTCAAAACTAAGAATGCCAAGCCCATGATAATTCTCTTCAAGTCGCTTGTGCTCTCTAGGCTGGAATACTGCTGTACACTAACGGCCACCTTCAAGGCAGGCGACAATGCAGAACTATAGTGTACAAAGAACTTTTACGGCACACATAAGTGCATTAAGGCACCTAAACTACTGGGAACGGTTAAAGGTCCTTGATCTGTATTCCCTCGAACGTAGGCGAGAGAGATACATGATAATATACACTTAGAAGGTCCTGGAGGGATTGGTACCGAATCTGCACACGAAAATCACTCCATATGAAAACAAAAGACTCGGCAGAAGATGCAACATTCCACCGGGTACATTCTCACGGGTACACTGAGAGACAACACAATTGTCTCCCAGCATACATAATGGGGATTACCAATAGACCCCTGGCTGTCTTCAAGAAGGCACTGGACAGGCACCTAAAGTAAGTACCTGACCAACTGGGCTGTGCTTCGTACGTCAGCTTGCGTGCGGCCAGCAGTAACAGCCTGATTGATCAGATTCTGATCCACCATGAGGCCTGGTCTCAGACCGGGCCGCAGGGGCGTTGATTCCCGAAACCCTCTCCAGGCAAACTTCAAGTAAACCACAAATGATGTAGTTGAAATTCTGACAGTAAAAATCGAGAACCAAAACTTAGTCATTGTACTTGTATATAAGCCACCAGATGCAACTTCCCAACAGTTCAAAGAACAGCTATCAAAAATT